CCCCAAAACCCCAAAACCCCAAAACCCCAAAACCCCGAGAATTATAAATTAATTAACATGAAGCAACATTTCAAACAGTAAGACCTCTTTCAAGGTTGCAATTGAGATACTCCTTATGTTAAGTAGAGATCTTGTGAGATTATCCTCAACTAGGAAGCTTAGAATGTTAAATATTTAGACCCAAGAAACATCAAAAGAAGAACCCACTTCATGTGATATCCCATCTGCAATATCTTGAACATCTTCAAAGATTGAAACATACTTATGAGAATAGGTTCAAGACCAAGAGTATCTATGGGCATTATGATTTTGATGGTAATTGCTATAAAATCTAGTCTTAATCTTTCTTGAAATCTAAATTTCACTGACCATCAATAAAATAGATAAATAAACAGCTAAAAGGACAAGTTGAAGACTTCAATACAATTCCAAATGACCCAAAGTATCCTTGTTTAGCAATTGTAGAAAAATGGCTGAGAACAGGAAGGTCACTCAAGGGATCCTTAGGTCTCTCTCAACATCCAGAAAGGTCAGAGAGTATGTCACAATGCTATGACTTGTAGTGATGAGCAAGACGATACCCCTCTGTGGATGAACCCACCCAAGAAGGTCCAATTTGGAATCCAAAACAAAGACTTGTTCTGCTTGAGGCAGACGCATCTTGATACTTTTGGAAAAGAGACTAAAATGGTTAACAAAAGACTAAAGCAGAGAAAATAAACTTATTACCAACAAGGAACCAAGATTTAATGAAAAATTAGGTAAAATATTTGAATCAAAAATTAGAATAACTAGTTTTAGGCAAATACAGAACAAAATTTGACTTTGAAAATGAGTTAGATATGCAGAATGAGATGAAAACCCGTAAGTATTTTCAAACAACTACTCTGAAATTATGATTCAATAGAGGAAGAAGAAGAGCGAATCCCTCCAGAAGTGTTCTCTTCATCAAATTCAAAGGAAGTTGAGCAGAATATTAAGAAGGCGAGGCTCATAAATAAATTATCACGTAAATTTAAGAAATCTAGAGAATCTAAAAGACCTAAAAGAAACATGCATAATAAATAACAGCACTATTAATCCTGAATACAAGAGGATCATGAGTAATAGACCAGCTCAGAGAACTCACATTATAAATGGATATAGTGTGCTATCTTCAAAAGATCTGAGCGTGTGAAGCTCAAAGATGGTTCTAGAAAGCAAAAAGTCTAACACTTTAAACAACAAGGATAGAAGGCTATTCTCTCAACAAAGAGCATTCAGTCCAGCATCTTCTGTATTAAGCATGACTCTTACTCCTTCAGATCCAACCAAAGTGTGATCTTTATGTCTACAGGCTCTGAATGATACTGAGATTAAAATGCAATCTGCTTTTAAGCAGATTCCCTCTTCTCAAAATTCTCAAAATCCTAAGCTAAAAGGTGTCTTAAACTCAATGGTATGGAAATGAGACTCTACACAAATAAAGCCTTGTCAAGAAGTATCCGAATTGGATAGAGAAAGAAGAGTAAGATTATAAATAATCAACAATGAGAGAAATACTGCCAAATTCCTAAAAATCTGTGGCTAAAACACATCTATTTATATTTTTTGAGATTCTCTATTTACTCCAGTTCTTAATTCATTTTATAGAATCTCAACCTTCCAATGTTCAAGAATAATTTACTAAAAGAGTCTCTAAATAGTGAGGGGAAGAAGAGTCTACTAAAATCAACTCGTTGCAAGTCCTTTGTGCAGAGCCATGAAAGAGAACCCCAAAAGGATCATCTGTGACTCAAATGATTCTATGGTTGATTCATCAATAAATCTCAATCTCTTACAAAATTCGATGGATCTGTCCTCAATATAGTTCCCAAAGACACTATGGGTTTGGAAACAACAAATAAGGATGAATAAGTACAAGTCAGGATCATTTGAAACGAGATTGAAAAGATGGTGCCAGGAAAAGCAAAATAATTTGAACTTAAGCTAAAAATGACTGAATTTTGCTTGAATTTGAGATATGGATTTCATTTTTGCATATTTGTTAAGCCTCATATTTGAACTTAGGGATTAATCAGCTGTATTTCGAACCTAAAATAAAATGCACTGAAATTCAACTGGCGGCAAATATTCAGGGGTTTTGGGGTTTTGGGGTTTTGGGG